TGACTTTTCGTTGACTGTCCTGCCTACGTGCGTGCCACGTGGCCTTACTTCTTTAGACCTCGAAATCGAGGGGTAACAACTACAATTCCGAGTGCTTTGAAATGGATCAAAAAAGAGACTCGAGGTACATCTTGACAAAGTAAATCGAAAAGAATTGCACTTGCTAGCACCACATACCATATTTGGACGGCACGTAATAGAAAGTTTTTTGAGGAACTTTGTCCACAAGTAGATATCATAGTAAGACTAATTAAAACACACGCGTACAAGATTATGTTTGCTTTGTAGCCACATGTTTTGAATTATTCTGAGTCTTTGGCTTTGGGACTATAGTTCATATCGTTTGTACATCTCTTCTTTTGATTAGCTCGGGTATGTCCGGAGTAATTGTATTTCATCTATTTCTTGTTCATCCGAGTATGCCCGGTGTACTTGTAATGAGTTTTGATCTATAGTAATTTAAATTTATCACCTATTAATGTTAACAATTGATTCCAGTCTACACGGAAATATTATGGATTAGAGACATTAGACCATCCCCAATTTTGCACCAAAATTTGAGGTAAGTGTTGCACCATTTTATACTAAATATTGCATCAAACTAAAAATTATCCCCAACAATTAAGCCAAACTTACACCAAATGAATTTTGGTATATATTAAAAATTCTATTTTTGACGAAAAATAAATAATTTATGATCACTTTACAAACATGTTTAATTATGGTGTGTTTGGTACCTATTAAAATTTTCATTTTCATTCTTCTGCTCATTTTCAACCACACATTCTCCATCAATCTACTATTCCAAAATATATTCTTCCAAAATAATATCCATCAAACACACCATTAATCTTTTAAAGTATGATTTTGACTCCTCAACCATTAAAAGCACGATTTAAATCCTATGAATTGAATGTTAAATTCGCGTGACTCAAAATTGAAGATAAAATCATCAAAGATCTAACTTAAAACACAAATTCTAATATTCTAACTCAGAAGAGACAAATTCTAATTTTGTTTCAGTATTATTAGACCTTGAAAGAGTGGAGGGGTGATGTTTGCTTGACTAGACTTTATTTTGAGACGGCGGTCTTGGCAAAGTATTTTGCATCTCAATTCTTTGAAATAGACTGGACAGAAGTTGAGTGTATTTAAGATTTCGTTTGTCCCCTTGTTAAAATAAAATTATTTAATTCTCTCATTTCTAATCACATTTTCAAACACTAAAATATTTTGTACGTAAATTTAAAATTTTTTCCCACTTTTTAACTGTATATTATTATAAAAAATTCTATTCAAAACATCAGTTTTTTTTTTTCAATAATAGCCATTAAACAGGGGCGATTAATTCACCTTCTGAATGGATAAATGAGACCCTTGACAAAACCACTGTTAGGTGTACTAGAAATTCCCGTCTTCACAGGCAATCTTTGACTTCAATTCTGTTTTTTGGACATTCCACTTCACACTTTATAAAATCAGATTTGTGAGTCCTGAGGACCTGAACAACACAGACATCTCAAGATACTAAACTAAACTAAACTAAACTAAACTCTGAATTTGTTCAATGCCGATATTCTTTATCTTCTTCCTCTTCATTTTGATCTCTTCTGTACACGCACTTTCCTGTAATAAACTGGAACACGATTCTCTTTTATCGTTCTATAAACAAATTTCTGTCCCGTCACCAGAAATTCCTCTCAACTGGTCATCCATCGACTGCTGCAAATGGGAAGGTGTTACTTGCAATCCCGAGTCTCGGGTCACCCATTTATCGATATCGGGTAGGCATCTT